TTAGGGTTTAGGAACAGCGTGCTAAACAAATGATGCTTGCATATAACTACCCAGGGACCCATTTTGAGGGGACCGCCCGGCCAACTTAAGCGGGGATCTGGCGTACCTTTTTGGGGGCCCAAATGCGCCCAAAATGCGCCCAAAATGCGCTCCTCGCTACGGGCCCCGGCCCCGGTCAACTTAAGCAAGGCTGTGCGTACCTACTCAACAGTAGAAGGGCGCCTGGGAGCCTTTATCAGGCCAATCCCGAAACCCAGGGGTGAGCGGGGATACGCGTACCTATCTTTATATAAAATACAATACAAAGACTCCGCCCCATACCGAGCCTGAGCGGGGATACGCGTACCTCGCCTCGGAAAAACGATTTTGGTCGGACCCAAAAGCTACGAAAATGGCACCCAAAACGGTCAACTTAAGCAAGGCTCTGACGTACCTCGCCTCTTGCCTAAAACGCCTCAGAAATATGCTGTTGCTTGCCAAAAAAAGCCCGCCTGCGGCGGGCGCACCCAAACTTTGTCCGTCGTGTGGTTGTACACCATGATGTTCAGCCAATCGTCACTTCCCACGTGCACTGCATCTGCCACCACGCACAAAATGTCCGTCGACTGGAAATCTGACTTGCCCTGCGTGACATAGGCGTATCGCTCCATGCGTGCTAGCCTGTGTGCATCCATAGAAGCGTGCTTCTTGATCTTTTGCTCGTCCTCCGTGGGGGTCTCCTCCAGGATGCATACGTGTCCATGCATCGTGCAGATGAGTGCCCTGCGTGTAGAATGACATGAACTCGCCATTTCCTCTCGGAAGCCCACAGACGATCGACGACACCCGGCGGCACCCCTTCAACAGCACGGGAACGTTGATTAGTTACTAAACTCAAACCTTAAACCCCTAAACCTTCTGAAACCTTAAGCCCGAATGCTTCCTCAGCTTCATAGTGTGCTTGACATTAAGCGTGTCCAGTAGGAATGGGTGTTGTCCGACGAGTCTTCGCACCTGACAAAGCCTCCATCAGGCAGCGCTGCATCTTGGGGCTGGATTCTTTGCGATTCTCGCTCACTGTCCGGCTTGTGCAATTTAAGAATCATCCTGCGGGTCCATCGCTGTGTCACCTCCTTCACGTGCAGGGAACCTGCTTGGAATGGAAGCACTGTGTCCACGGCCGTGTAGTCCTCCTCCGCAATGACGACGAAACCATCGTCGACGATCCCAGGCAGTTCCAGCGAATCAACCGGTCGCGCAGTGTCCGGCGTGTCTTCCTGCTCGAAGTGCTCCGGGAATGCTGCATCGACCGGCGCAAGGTGATCCTCGTCTCTGCATCTTCAAACTCCTCGTCGTCCTGCATTTGGTCCTGCTGCTGTCCCTCGTCCGACTCAACCTCGGCCCAAAGTCCAACGTTCGCCATCTCCTCCCTCACAGTCTCCGAGTCGGTGTCGGCCTGGTTGTCATCTGGGTCCGGCGCCTTCATGTCCGCCTCATGCGCCCTGTCGCACTCCTGCTTGTCCGCCTCCAGCAAACCGGACTGGACGGTCACCACATGCCACGGGAGTTCCCTGCTACACCAGCCCTTGAAGGCGTACTTCGCCATCTCGATGTACTCCGGCAGTTTATCCGACGGGCCGAGGTCCGGCGGCGACAAAACAATGGTACCACTTCATGTCCCACATATTGGGGCGGTTGAATGTCGGGAGAAAGATGGCGTTCCCCGTCGCGAGGGCGGACAGTCCGGCGGCGCTGCGTTTGCCCCGCTTGGCTCAGCAGATTTTTAAAGAGGAACCACCAGTCAGTCAGGGCGAATGGAGCATATGCAACACAGCTGCAGTACGTAGAGGTTAATGATCAGCCGCATGTTGTCGAAATTGAACTCCAATACAAACGACAGAACTGCGAGGACAAGGAGCAGCGTGTTCCGCATTGGATAATGATTTTGATTGACAAGGGCTGGAGAACCTTGTAGCTGACCGTCCGGGAACCTTTAGCAACAATCAATAACATGAGTTACGTCACAGGCCACTTATCTACTCCGCGCTGCATCGGTGCAACGACACTGGATTGCAATTGTGGTACCTCGTGGGAAAGTGGTGTTTTTCTCCATGTCCGTCAGGCCCAGCCCTCGAAAGTCGATGTCCCAACACATGTATGTCTTCTCGTCGATATTTTTGTGAGGTGCCTGGCCGACGACGCCATTGCTGCCCAACGTGTGAGAATTCGTGCTGGCCGGGCCTGCGTAGAAACACACATCGTGCAGTCAGAAGTGCACACATCGCGTCACTGTACTATCTAATATATCAGACAAGAAACAGGAGTACGGCTTCGGGCACTGCTTGTCGGAGCCGACAGGCAAAACCTCGCGTCCGTCGAGACGCGAACGTCCCCCGAGTAGCTCCCCATGTTGCCCGTCGGGCAAGGCTGCAAAGTCGAATTGGGAGCGAAGGGAGTTGGCCTCGCATCGGAAAAAGCCATGGCTGCGAAAAATGTACTAAGGAACGGCGAGGACGAGGATAATGTGTAAGAGACCTGTGGGGAACTAAGTAGTGTATACACTTCCCTAGGACCTCGACAGGGACGCTACATGTTCTGAATGACATCTTGATGCGCATGCTATACGTGTTGAGGTCCAGTATATATGCTGTGTGAATGAAAGACGTCTGTCCGAGTGACAGTGCCCCTGCAAGTCGTCTGCAGTGTTGCTGTGACTGAGGGTAATAGAAGCTGTGCTCATGCTCTAGAACTAGGTTCTGAGTCTGGTCCAACATGTGGCAACCGAAGAACCGATGCTCATCAAACAGCTTCAACCATGCTCGCATGCACACACGTCACATCAGCAACAATCATGTCATGAGCAGAGCAAGTTGGAGGGCGGAAGGCACCTAGTCCAGCGAAGAGCGTGGCATCGGCGATGCAGATAATGTCCACCGTTGCAGAACGACGGGGGATGCACAACGGGTAAGTCTCATCGGGTTGAACTACGGGTGGCCTCTCAAAACAGCTGAAGAAATACACCCCAGGCAACATTTGGTAGTCAAATTCTGTGCTTATTTTCGGCCTGTTATCCAATCCACAAATTCATACTACTATTTTCCACACAAATCCATTAACATCAAACCGCTGTCCAAGCGGGTGTTTGCTTAATGTGCTTGCTTTTTTAGTGTAGCTTAGAAGCTTCAGACTTGAATACGCACAAACACCACCGACAAGTAAACCACACTCAACTGTCATGATCTCAAAGGTGGGGGTTTAAACTCACGAATGTGCAATTTTTGATGATCAATTAAAACGGCCCAAAACATACGCCCTATCCCGGCCATACGCGTATCCCTGCTTAAGTTGCTCTCTGACTCTTCCAGAGGATCTGAGCGCGGAAATCATGGCACTTTAGGTGTCGCAGGAACATTCAAAGGTTTAGGGGTTACTTTGCTCCTTTGGGTGGACGCGGGGTGCATCAGCTATGATCGCTTCTGTACATCTTGCGGCGTCAATAGATCGCCGAAAACCTCACTGTTACGATCTATTGCGCCTGCTCCTAACTGCTTGCTGAGGTAGCCCTAAACCCTAAACCCTAAACCCTAAACCCTAAACCCTACCAAGAAAAGTACAACGACTACAGGGTTCGGACCAACCCCAGAAGCTCCTAAACCCTAAACCCTTGAAGTTTCAGAGGGGGGTAGGATTTAGGGTTCCCTAAGCCCCAAACCCTTTTAGGGTTTTAGGGGGTTTAGGGATACTCCCCCAAGGCTTGCAGAAGCCTCACAGCAAAGCCCATAGCCTTATGTGCGGCCGTGCAGCCGATGTAAAACACAATGTAGTTTCCAGCAGCACCTTCCTTGCTGCCATGGTTATCGGAAGCTTCCGTGCTTGCTCAGGATTTCTTGCTTTCTTACTCCCCCAATGAGCCACAGAAATAGAAAGTTAAACTTTCCGATTCCTACTAAACTATAAGAACCCAAAAAGTTTAAAGGGCGGGTATTGGGGAGCTAAGCTTCGTTCATACCGAACCCACCGTCCTTCGTGCAGACTCCTGCCCTGCAAAGTCCCAAGAACCAGAGCCCAAGGCCCAGCAACCCTGGTTTAGGGTTTGGGGTTTTAGGGTTTTAGGGTTTAGGGGTTTAGGGTTTTAGGGTTTTAGGGTTTAGGGTTTAGGGTTTTTGGCTTTTAGGGTTTAAGGGTTTAGAGTTTAGGGTTTTAGGGTCTAGGGTTTAGGGAGGCTGTGGGGCTCTTATTGTGTTGGCAACCCACTATTTTCATTGGTGATTGTGTGTGGGTTTCTGTGTCAGTTGGTCTCAACCCTAAACCCTAAACCCCTAAAAAGCTCTCACAACGAAGCAGTTCGATGGGGCTGCCTGGATGACGGAAGAACGGCCAACCTACGTTTTAAGGTTTAGGGTTTAGACCCAGTAAAGTCCAAAAGCAACTTGTCGACGGGCCTAAGCGTCGATTTGGAATATACTCGGGCCTTCAGGCGGTTCCCATATGGGTACTTCAGGGGCATACAAGAAGGATTTATATCATCAACCGCGGTAACTGAAAAGGCTCCTTAAAGGGCTCTATCGGGCTTCTACAAGAGTTTGAGTAAGGGTGCTTGCAGGATCATGGGACTTAGTAAGTAAGGTTCAACTTACCTCAAGTAGGGCTATAAGAAATGTAAACACATGGTTACCTTGTTCTCAAACCAAGTTATTCCGTCCCAAGAACTTTTTCAGCAAGCTGCCTAACAACTGGAAAGAGGTGTTGCGAGGTTGCTGTACTATGAACCGTGTCAACCCTAAGGTTCCCATGTAGCTTCACCTGAAGCCCACGTAACCTACCTTTTGAAGGACTTATATAAAGAAATCATATTAGGAAACCCTAAAAAGGTAGGTTCCTTTTGGTCCAGGCATAGTATATACGTAGGGTAAGTTTAGGGGTTTAGGGTTTGGGGATTCCAGGCCTTAAAAGGGTACCTGTCTAGGCTCTGGGCAGACCTCTGTCTTAACCTAGGGCTTAGGGCTGGCTTTAGGACAAGCTTCATCGTGCTCCATGATCGCGCTGGTCAGGAGAGAAATGAGAAGTGCCTGCCTCAGGAAGTAATCAAGGCAGGAGGTTAGTGGTCCAATATAATGGCCTCGGTCATGAAAATAGGAACTGCAGTATACGTGGCAATAAGTATATCGGGACTGGAAGGGAATGGTATTGCTGACTACTCGAACTTTCTTGATGGTTCATGGGACTTAGCGACGTGCGATATAAGTACGGCAACTGTATATCAGTACATCATAAGTACAAAAAACCCTAGTCACGGTACCTATACTCTTACTCACTCAGTCCCATGACCCTCCGAATGCCGTTATGGAAATCGTATAGTCTTTCAGAAACCCTGTAGATCCCTCTAGGGAGCACTTTAAGTTACTAAGTCCCATGATCTTCCAACAAATGTAGGATTGTAGGAAGCTGATTAAGAAACCCTGGGCCTATGACCCCCAAAATAGCGGTTTAGGGTTTAGGGTTTAATAGTATGATACATATAAGGAACCCTAACACAGGCCCAAGACTTCTTTATCAGGTTCTTCCAGGGTATGCATGACAGAAGCCCCGAGGACCTGAACACTCCTGAAGCCCTGGAGTGCTAACATGTGACCCCAAGAAACGAGCAGGTTTAGGTTTTGAGGGGTTGGGGATTAATGTGCCGGTCGGTTTAGGAATATGGGCTCCTTTAATGCGTCGGCTCGGGGGCTAATTCCGACCGGTACCAACAATTTGGGCGGTCTAATTAATGCGTTTTTTTTTGGCTGGGCGGATTTTTTGGTGGCGGGGCTGTGCTATTTGCTGATGGTCAATCTTAAGGCAGCCACGATCTAAACCCCCACCCAAACCCCCACCCAACCCTAAAACCCTGGCCCTGAAGCCCCAAAATCTCTTGCAGAATTGTTTCGCTTATTGGGGCGTCAGGAATGGGAGTCTGTACTACTACTGTACTACTATTGTACTATTGTACTGCTACTGTATGCCTTGCTTATTGGGGGGGGCTGCTAGGGTGAACCGCCGAATCGGGGATTGGACCCTAGCTCAAAAGAGGCCTCTCCAGTACTAAAGTTTGCATAAAAAATTAAGTTTTGGGTCGAATCTGGACCGACCCCCCTTTGGAAGGGTTTAGGGCTTAGGGTTTAGGGTTTGTTATAGGGTTTAGGAGTTTAGGATTCGTTAGGGTTTAGGGTTCAGGGTTTCAGGCGCTGGCCCAGACCCCCCCGACCCCCGACGGCGCAGTCGCGCAGAACCGCAGACCCTGCACCCAAGCCAGCCCCCAAACCCCGGCACCTCCCAATTCCCTGCCACTCAGACCCCTGACCCCTGTCCGGGGCTACCGGTTCCGCACTAAACCGACCGCAACTTTTTGGTCGGGGGGGGGGGGGTACCCTAGTACTAAACCGACCGCCACATTAGGGTTTAGGGTTTGAAGAAACGAGCAGGTTTAGGGTTTAGGGATTAGGGTTTAGGGTTGTGATGATCCCAAGATACTAGTAGCCGGAAAGGCTCCATGTACCTTTATAGTCGATCGTTAAGCCTTAAAGGGGTCCCCATACAGGTACCGTAAGGCATAAGTAAGTACTATAAGGGTACATCGAGCCTTAGGGTAGGTTATGGTGACCCTCAATTAGAGGGTGGAACCCTTAAAACGGTAGGCTTCAGGTTGCCCTGAAGCCTCACTCGTCGATTTTCTAAAAGTCAGAATGTCGACGAGTCAGGCTTCCGGGCAACCTGAAGCATAACGTCAGTTCAACCCTGAATCTTACATCGATTAGAGTTTAGGGTTTAGGGTGTAGGCTTTAGGGAGGGTTCTCAAAATTAGGGGTTCCCCCGTCTAATTTCATCACGGCTTCGGGTACCTATCTAGTACAGTGGGCCGCCGCAGACCTTAAAGTACTTAATATAGTGACCCCATTTACGATTTAAACATGCACTATACAGGCACCACTATGTCGCCTTACAAAAATTCTAAACCCTAAACCCTGAAAGCCTTAAAGGAACCCTAAGAGGGTTACTTTGTGAAGCTCCCACATAGATGGAGTCTCTGCTTCTCTCTTTCCAGCCTCCGGGGCCGGAGAACGGGACTCTCTTGTTTCATTTACTACCTGGACCCTAAGGAACCTGCCTTTTTAGGGTTTCCTAATATGATTTCTTTATATAAGTCTTTAAAAAGGTAGGTTACGTGGGCTTAATTAAGCTAGACCTGAGAGTAACCTAGGAATACAAAGGGTGCCCTTTTTGGTTTAAAGGGGGCTATAATAGTATAAGGGAACCTTAACCCGAAAAAGGGAATAAGGGCCTACTCTGGGTCCTAGTAAACGTTCCTGGTTAAGGGATGTATACGGTTTAGGGATTAGGGCTGCCAGACCTTCCAATATCCCATAATGAAGGAACATGCCTGACATCGTGCCTTAAAGCGTATTTGGCATCCTACCACAATTTCAGGCATATTCCTTAATTAGTTGGAGGGATATTGGAAGGTCTGGGTTTAATCTCTTTGAAAAGGACCCACTTAATCATCAAGGGCTCAAGGTCTAAGGGTCTGGGCTTCCGTGATATTTAGTTTTCAGGGAATGGTTTAGGGATTGACGCATGCAAACACAAAATGTGATGCCGATACTTAGAGCTGACAACTCTAAAGCACAGGAACCTAAGAGGGGAAGGGCAGCAGAGGGGAGGGGAGGGGAGGGGAGGGGAGGGGAGGGGGGGGGGGAGGGGAGGAGGGAGGGGAGGGGAGGAGGGGAGGGGAGGAGGGGAGGGGAGGGGCGGGAGGGGAGGGGAGGGGGAGGGGAGGGGAGGAGGGGAGGAGGGGAGGGGAGGGGAGAGAGGGGAGGGGAGGGGAGGAGACCCGAGATTAACCCGCTTTACAACCAGAATCCCTACTTTACAACCAGAATCCCCACTTTACAACCACAGACACTGTTTTCCGTGTGAGAATCCCCACTTTACAACTGCCGATCGTGAGAACGCCCACTTTGCAACCCGTCTACCCATGATTAAGACTTATTGGGATTTCATGATTTTTTTACAACAAACCTACCTAGATTCCTAATAGTTTGTTGGTTCTTTGACCCCCTAAAGTGTTTTACGTGGCCTTCATCCGACCGTGGCCCCAAACTACTAAGATCTCCAACATCCCTAAAATTGCTTCGTCGCATGATATCTTTGATCTTTGTCGTCTGTGGGTGCTTCTGTGCGCCTGGCTGGAGGCAAAGCAGTAGTTGAGGGCTGCTCCGGATTATATGCACCCGAACCCTTGTTTAGAATATGCACCCGAACCCTACGCCTTAAACCCTAAGCCCTACACCCTCGTAAAGCCACTAGGTTTAGAATATGCACCCGAACCCTACGCCTTAAACCCTAAGCCCTAAACCCTTATAAAGCCACTAGGTTTAGAATATGCACCCGAACCCTACGCCTTAAACCCTAAGCCCTAAACCCTTGTAAAGCCACTAGGTTTAGAATATGCACCCGAACCCTACGCCTTAAACCCAAGCCCCAAACCCTCGTAAAGCCACTAGGTCTAGAACCCTAACCACGCTATCCTTGCACACTATACCCGGCCCGCAAATGCTGCAGAACCGTAGTAAAATGTTCGGGTTCATGTATTGGCTTTAATATGAATATACTAAAAATGCATACCTGCGCTCTGGTGAGAAAAGAATCCGTTTCTAAAACTCATGTTTTCTTTCTGCTTTCCCCAATACAAACACACTCGGTCCGAGTTTGCCTGCAGGGAGTGAGTTGGATACAGCTTGACGGCCGCAAGTGCGTAAAGTGCAAACCACTATGCAACAACACGCTCGCTGAGGTGAGCATCTAAACAGTATCATCGATACCAAACCATCACGCATCTAAATATATATATATATATATATATATATATACATATATGTACACACACACACATATCTATCGTGGTTTCGGGTTAAGAACGCCCACATCGCAACCAACATCACTTTCCAACCTGCATGGCTGCCGTAAAGGATGATGCTAGAGATTCTAGGCTTTGACGTTATCAGTTAATAGGGTTGTTAAGAAGCTTTCCGAACCGGTTGCAAAGTGGGGATTCCGGAAAGGCTCATGGGTTGTAAAGTGGGGGTTCTGGTTGTAAAGTGGGGATTCTGGTTGTAAAGCGGGGTACACGCGAGGGGAGGGGAGGGGAGGGGAGGAGGGGAGGGGTTCAAATTCCTGTCGTTGGTGCAAAAAGGAATTTCCTTTGCACCACTGATTGAAACGGTTGCCAAAACAACGGGGTTCCATGTATCCTGGGAACTAAAGGTTAACCTTCGGCAGTACAGCGGGATGATGTAAGGAGTAAAGTACCCCAAAAAGGCTACAGGCGACCTACCCATACCTACTCTACTACTATAATGAACCCTAAACCCCCAAACCCTACATCCCATATACCTTCAGAGCACAGGAACCCTAACAAGGTAGGTTTCTTAGGATCAAAGGCTACAGGTGACCTACTCATACCTACTACTATAGTGAACCCTAAACCCCCAAACCCTACAACCCATTCAGAGCACGGGAACTCCCAAAAGGTAGGTTTCTTCGGATCCAGGTAGAGGCCTAGGAATTCCAACGACCCGCCCACAAGCATCTTCTTGGGTCTTGAACATGCTCGAGTCCCTTGGTTTTGGTTTTAAGGTTTAGGGGCTTAAGGTTTAGGGTTTGGGGTTTAGGGCTTAGGGTTTGGGGGTTTAGGGGTTTAAGGTTTAGGGTTTGGGGTTTAATTTCTTTTAGGGTTTAGGGCTTAGGGCACTCTCAGCTTGAAAACCCAAGCCTTTTGAGTACCTTAAGCCTCAAACCTCAAGCAGTGCTAAGACAAACATGGTTCTAAACCCTTAACGGTAATACCCAAACCCTAAACCCCCAAAAAAGGCAGGCCACAGAGGGCCGATAAGGCCGTCGAGGAAGCAAGCCAGCGCGAATAAGAAACAATTCACCTTTCCAACGGTTCTGGATGGTTTTAGGGTTTATAGTTTGGGGATATGGGGGTTACGGATTGAGGGTTTAGGGATTGGGGCTTTAGGCGTTTGGGGAGTGGGGCTCGGGGTCCTTTGTTTCTGGTTTGGGGCTATGAATATTTAGTCTTGCTGGGCATCTCACTAGCCCAAAAGCCTTATGTAGTATGGTCTTTGGGCCCAGAAGCCTTAATATCTATACATATATATATATATATATGTCCTTAGAGCCCCAGGGTTACATCCTCAACCAATAAGTTTTCACAGCTTAAAGCTAATAAAGCCCGATTCCCCAAAGCCTGAACTTGTTTCCAGCTTCATCCAAGTAAGGCTACAACAGAAGGATCCTGTGATGCTGTTGCTAAACCCTAAAGCCTAAACCGCAAACCCTTAACCTTAGGTGAAATCCTACCTGTTGCTGCAATTTTCGGTTCCAAATGGAATATACCTTATGATGGGTCATGGCCTACTATGTTGCAGGGCTTGGGACTACAGGCAAACATCGAAATGCCTAACTGGTAACCTGAACGCTGAATGTTGCCAGCTTCTTTCCGAAAGCCTAGACCCAAAACGGCCAGGGGTCTGAGTCAAAAGTTCTAGCATGAGGTTGTCAAGGCTTCGGCTGTGTAAGGTTTAAAGAGGGCTCGGGCCTTAGTTCCCAGCCTAAAGGCTGGCAGGCTGAACCCTGCATCCATGAATCGACACCCAGGTTACACTTAAATACCACAAGCCCTAAACTCGAGACACTAAACCATCAGTCCTACACTAGAAGCCTGGCCTAGCTTTCAGGGATTGAAGTACATGCGGCCCTAAAAACAGCCAACCATACCGATAGCTAGGCTTTCAGTGCCATTCCTGCAGCCCGTGCATTTCTGAACGATATGACCCAAGTGGTGCACTTCGAGTGTACACGGTGTGCCATGGTTTCAGGACATAGGGATGCTGCAATGGCCACTATAGCTCGTTCCAACATCACTCGTGGCACACACTAAACCAGCTCATGCGTCAAAGCGTTGCCTCTTGTTCAACGAGAAGTGGGTTTCTAAAACTCTTGTTTAGGGTTTAGGGTTGTTTAGGGTTTAGGGTTGTATCCGGGCCTTCGTGATGAGACTAAGGTTTCCTGGAGTAGTTTCTGAATATTCCATGATTGCACCCTTTTTCCTACTACTTTTGTCAACAAGGTAACCCAAAAAAAACGAAACGGTACTACTGGGGAGCCTAGGAGCCTAATACACTAAACCCTCATAGTACCCTTGAGGGAAGCCAGGTTTTGAAGGAAATCTAACTAAAGGATCCGTGAGCAAGCCACTGGATCGCTCGTCAACAGGTAGTAGCAGCCACTGCTGAACCTCATTCACGGTGCAGACGTGCAGACATTCAGAATCACGTGCTTGGGGCCAGGGCTTAGACTTAGAACTTATATATGGACATCATACCAAGGAGTCCTAAAAAAAGCAGGTCTATAAGGTCCAGGTACAAGGACTGGGGCTCATTCATTTGGGATGCTGGGACAGCCCTGCCCCCCCTCCCCGCTCTACATGGCAGACGGTTTAGGGTTTGGGGGTTGGTTTTGGGATTTAAGGGTTAGGGGTTTAAGGCTTATATAAGGGTTCAATGATCAGGATTTTAGCTGAGCTCAACAAGACTCCGAAGTGGGGCAGACGAGACTGAATTGTGCATGGGTAGGGGTATTGGTTCTAAGAGCCAGAAATATTCGATTGGGTTTTTTTGCTACTTGTTGTACTCAACTGCCTGCAACCCAAATACCAAAATAGCGGGCTCCGCCATGGTTACGCAGGGCAATATAAGAAAACTCCTTAAACAGCACTCCTCAAACTGCCAGCCCCACTGACCCTAAATCAGAAACCCGAAACCCGAAACCTACTCTGTAAAACCAAAACCATAAACCCTACACCGAAAAACCCGGAATACAGGAGCCGCATAGATCTTTCAAGAGAACCCTCATCCCATAACGGGTGGGCAACTGCAGAGGTAAAGGCTTGAACACCCCCAAAGAGCTGAAAAATATTGTCTTCGGTTCGGGGCATACCAAGACGCCCCGAATGAGGAGATTTGTCTAAGGCCAACCAACCAGGGCTTTATGTTTTACAAAGCTTACCTTGCTGAGCAATCCACGACAAAAAACCGCTGAGCATGAAAGCTGCAATCGCGTCTCTGCTGCTGCCGAGACTATATACTTGCGAATATGATGATTACCTGACTGTCAAGGAAATTTCGCATCAACCAAGTTTCAAGTTCCCGACTTTCACATTCTTATGCAATCGCAACGGGCCTGTCGGCTGCTGCAAACACTGCTGGCTCAAATAGACGGTGCCATGCCAAATCACATCGGCAGTCGTGAAACTATGAATTTGTTGGAGGCAAGCGTGGTCATGTCTTCGGCTGCGTGTGGCAACGTTTTTGACACGAAATATGACGTACATGCCGTTGCTTGAAACAGGCCACGGAGGAACGTGTACCATAGTAGTCATAGAAGAAGGAAGGTATCAACATTTTCAAAGTGGCGTAAGTGTAAGCGTAAGTAGTAGTAGTAGTAGTAGTAGTAGTAGTAGTAGTAGTAGTAGTAGTAGTAGTAGTAGTAGTAGAAGTAGTAGTAGTAATAGTAGTAGAGGTGGTAGTAGTAGTAGTAGTAGTAGTAGTAGTAGTAGTAGTAGTGGTAGTAATAGTACTAGTAGTAGTAGTAGTCGTAGTCAGTAGTAGTAATAGCAGTAGTAGTAGTAGTAGTAGTAGTAGTAGTAGTAGTTGTAGTAGTAGTAGTAGTAGCAGCTTCAGTAGTCGTACTAGTACTAGTACTAGTACTAGTAGTAATAGTAGTAGTAGTAGTAGTAGCAGTAATAGCAGCAGCAATAGTAGCAGTAGTAGTAATAGCAGTAGGTGTGCCCCCTACCAACTACGTCTCCTATACTCTGTTTCAGAGCACATCCATCTTACTCGACATCTACTGGTGCTTACAATGCTTTCGTGATGTCGTAGTCCGATACCAACCACCGCTGTTGAGGGCGTGGGGGTTAAAGGGCATGATGATGTACTTTCTCAAAGCACATCCATGGTACTCGGCATTTAGAGTCATTTTGTGATGTTGTAGTCCAATACCGACGATGATGATGACGGGTTCAGGCGCCAGTTAGGTGGTAGTTGGCGCTAGTAACAGCAGTTGTAGTAGTAGAAGTGGTAGTAGTCGTCGTCGTCGTAGCAGCAGTAGTAGTAGTAGCAGCAGCAGGAGTGAGTAGTAGTTGTAGTAGCAGAAGTCGAAGTAGAAGTAGAAGTCGAAGTCGAAGTGGAAGTCGAAGTGGAAGTGGAAGTGGAAGTAGAAGTAGAAGTCGAAGTCGAAGTCGAAGTGGAAGTCGAAGTGGAAGTGGAAGTAGAAGTAGAAGTAGAAGTAGAACTAGAAGTAGAAGTAGAAGTAGAAGTAGACGAAGAAGTAGTAGTAGTAGTCGTCATCGTCGCAGTAGTAGTAGAAGTAGTGGTGGTAGTTGTAGTAGTACTTTTACTAGTACGAGTACTAGTACTAGTACAAGTACTAGTATTAGTACTAGTCGTAGTAGTAGTAGTAGTAGTAGTAGCAGTAGTAGTAGCAGTAGCAGTAGCAGTAGCAGTAGTAGTAGTAGTAGCAGTAGCAGTAGTAGTAGTAGTAGTAGTAGTAGTAGTAGTAGTAGTAGTAGTAGGAGTAGTAGCAGTAGTAGCAGTAGTAGTAGTTGTTGTTGTAGTAGTGGTGTAGTAGTAGTAGTAGTAGTAGTAGTAGTAGTAGTAGTAGTAGTAGTAGTAGTAGTAGTAGTAGTAGTAGTAGTAGTAGTAGTAGTGGGTAGTAGTTAGCAGTAGTAGTCGTCGTAGTAGTGGCAGTTGCAGCAGCAACAGCAGTAGCAGCAGCAGCAAAGTAGCAGTAGCAAGTAGTGGAGAAACTACTGCTACGACGACAACAACAACTACTTCTTGTAGTAATTGGCCGTAGCAGTGGCAGCAGTAGCAGTAGCAGTAGAAACAGCAGTAGCAGAAGAAGTGCCTTTCATGGAGCCCTTATGTCCTTAGCAGTGGATGCTGAAGTTATATCCAGGGTAGTTGGGTAGTGTATGGTAGTGTTGAAGGTTTGGTTCGTGGTTGGGGTGCAGGGCTTACGGTTTACCGCTTAAGGTTACTGGGGTTCAAGGTTTGGGGTGCAGGGTTAGCTTCAGGATTTAGGTACTAGCTGCGAAAAGGCTTGTGGAATGAAAGTTATTGAGGCTGAGGGTTTGAGGTTTAGGAGATCGGACCGGGTCATGGCTATGTGTTACCAGGATCTTCGTCCTAGAGGTTGTTACCTTGTCAGGCCAAGGCACGTAGCAAAAATACCGTAATTGTTCAGGGTGCTCATGCCGCCAATGCGAGCCACGACTCCTGATCCACTTCACACCCTAAGAAACGTTTTTTTTTTTTTGTTGGGGTGCCTGTCTTGAGGTTCATGTCGGGAATTTGGAGCTTTGAGGGATGTTACAGTATAAATAGACAAGGGTTTAGGGTTTAGGGTTGAAGGGTTTAGGGCTTGGTATAATTAATTCATTAGAAGATGAAAATGGGGCCCTAACACAATTTTTGAGTGGTTGTTCAAGCTTCTACAATACCCAGACGTCCGGGAGGATGCAAAAAGTGGATCCCTTAAGGGGTTCCTGTAAAGTACCCTTTAATAGTGTAGGTTCCCAAATTACGGGATATGCTTGGATGATACCGGTGGTCTGATTATGCAGTTCTGCTATCATGATACTCTATTAAAACCATAACCCCCTAAACCCCTAAACCCTCAAGCCTAAACCCTAAACTCTAAACTGAACCCTAAACCCTCCACCCTAAACTCTAAACCCTAAACTCTAAGCCCCTGTGCAAACCCTAAACTCTAGACCCTAAGCTCTAAGCCCTAAACTCTAATCGCTCCTAATCCCTAAACCCTAATCCCTAAACTCTAAACCCCAAACTCTAAACCCTAAGCCCTAATCCCTAAACTCTGATCTAATCCCTAAGCCCTAAACTCTACACCCTAAACTCTAAGCCCTAAACCCTAATCCCGAATCCCTAATCCCTTAAACTGGGCCTTTAAGTAACCAGGGAGAAAAAAGTATAAACTTTTATTTCATAAGGGTTCCGTTAAGAAAAAAAGTATTAAAGTATGGTACTCCAAAGCCCAGTAAAAGACTCTGAAACAGGGGATCGAACTCCGAAGCTTCCAAGTCCATGGCACCTTTCAGGATTTAGGGATGCAGGCCTCTACTTGGAGGGTCGGGGGACTTAGTAACTGGTTATTTTAGGGACTTATAAGTACCATAACCCCAATTAGGGTCCCTTTTAGGGTACTTATAAGTCTACTTACTACCTACTTACTAAGTCCCCCGACCCTCCAAGTAGGGGGTTAGGGGATCAGGGGTTTAGGCCCTAAGGGTGCAAGTACCCAAATAGTAGGGTTTCAAGGTCCAAAAACCATTAGGAGTATGGATTTTGGGATCTAAAACCCTACTACTTTGGTACTTGGACCCTCTGGGAGGGTTTAGAGGTTTAGAGATTTAGGTTTTAGAGGTTTAGAGGTTTAGAAGTTTAGCAGTTAAGGGTTGAGGGTTTAGGGGTTGAGGGCTCACGGAGTTCCAGAAAGCTTGAAAGCGTTGCTTCAAGATTCACCATACAATGATGCACTGGCAGCTCCGGTGGCGCAGAGGCAGAAGCCCTATGTGCCTCATCACCCAACCACAGTCTATTGTTTAGGTGATTAGGGCTTGGGGCAACCCCCTAAACCCTAAGCTCTAAAGTAAAAGCCAGAAAGTTGGAATATGATTATCCTAAACCCTTTATGGTAAATTATAAGGTATCCTACCCTGAAACCATATTCCAACTTTCTGGTGTTCCCTTTAAAGGAACCCTAAACCCTATAGATCCCTTTAAGGAACCCTATAGATCCCTTCAAGGAACCCTCACCGAACAAAACGCAGGTTGCGCTCCGCTAAGCAGTGATGCTGTGCCAGCAGCTCCAGAGTGCCTCGATTGGAAGACTAGACCTAAGAGTAACCTAGGAATAAAAAGGGTGCCCTTTTTGCTTTTAAGGGGCTTATATAAGGGAACCTGAACCCTAAAAAATGGAATAAGGGCCTACTCTGAATCCTAGAAGAAGAAGAAGATCTTTAGGGGACTTAGTAGAAAGCTCCTTAAAAGGCTCCTTAAAGGGATCTATAGGGTTTAGGGTTTAGGGTCTATGGAAGAAGGGTCAGGGTTGGGCGGTTCAAACTGCCACTTGGGAGTTTCCGAAAATTAGGGGTACCTTATTTGGGGGTCCTTATAATAAGGATCCTAGTATTTAGGGTACTATATTAGGGTCCCCTATTTTGGGAAACTCCCACTTTTCAAAAACCCTCACAGGCTAACTTTAAATATTATTCATGATGCAGGAGTCTCTGGAAATAGCAATATAACTCCATGTATACCTTCCTCGCGGTAGATGTACCCAAAAGACCTTCAAGAGGGGTTTCTATATAGATACCTGGAAGTCAATGCGTATAGCCAGCAGCATATGGGCACATGGATTGTTAGGGATACCTCCGTAAAACGGTCTCACCAATTCCATTCCTAATCCCCTATACAACACCATTAGGACGCGCCCTGAGCCATTGTAAGACCCTGCGCAAGCAAATCTAATGAAACTCTAAATTCGGGTATATGGATTAGATATCCTAAACCCTAAACCTCTGCACCCTAGACCCTAAACGCCTGTGGTACCCTTGACGGAACCTCTTACGCGAACTCCTCAGAGGACTTTAAAGCAACTCGAGCTCCGTTTGAAGATCGAAAACGTGCAACACTGCAGTGTATAGGGGCTGCTATACTGGGCTTTTCAGTAACCGGGGAGAAAAAGGTAAACACTTTTACTTCATAATGGTTCTTTTCTGAAAACATGTATTAAAGTATGGTACTCCAAAGCCCAGTGTAATGGAATGATGACTGGGGTTTACCTGTATCCCCAAACCCTACGAAATAGTAGGTTATGACCCCTTGAATAGAGGGTCTAACCCCTAAAACGGTAGGTTTTTGGATCCCCAGGTAGGGCTTAGGGGGACTATTTTGGGGGATCCACCCTCCCGTTCCCGCCCCCCCCTATCACCTTTGAGCCCTTGACCCCAACACCCTGCACCCGTCAAAGCACACAAAACCCGTACCCTAAAGCCTGGCCTAAACCCCTAACCCCGAGCCTTATTAATCCGTAACCCTAAACCCTAAACCCCTAAACCCTAAACCCTTTGAATGGCCAAGGTACTCCGAGAGCACGGCAGAGGCATCCCGCAAGAAGCGACTGACAGCAACTCTTTTCGGAGTCGAAAAAGGTCGCTTAAGGCTTTACCTATCGTCTCCATTGTAGCTCCTTTTTCTGGTTAACCAGTTTTATGGTTAGGATCCTATAAAAGAGATTTTGGATAACCAAAAAAAGGAACTACAATGGAGACTATAGGAAAGGTTTACTCAAAGATTTGTGGAACTTAGTAAACAGGCTAAAAAAAGCCCCGAATTAAGGTACTTATGACCTTACTTACGAAGTCCCATGAACCTCCAACTAGTGTTTGAGGGTTTAGAGTTTCAGGATTCAACAATTCTAAAAGGGTACTGGAAGGGTTTAGGGTTTACCTAGACCCTCAAGAACCTACCTTTTTAAGGACTTATATTATATAAGGAAACTATCATAGGCAACCCTAAAAAGGTAGGTTCTTTAGGGTCCAGATAAGTTTGGTACAGAGATGCTCGGCGACTCGGAAAAATGTGGATGTGTACCATACAGGTTTAGGGCTCAGGGCATCTAGGGTTTAGGGTGTACACAGGTCGTACCACCCGGTGAGCAGCCCTGAAAATCGTTATCAACAAAACGTACACCCTACACCCTTGTAGGAATCAAAACAAGGGTAGGAGTCCGAAAAGGGAGCCAACAAAACCGTAAATCCTGGGAATCCCAAACTGCACCCTTACCATAAACGAGCCCGCAAAACCCCAAACCCCAGCTGATATGAACCCCACAAATTCTAGGTTCTCGATTGTTTCTATTCATGTTTCACGTGCACCACAGTGACCCCCTTTAGGTACCCTGCCTGACATCCGCCTCGCCCCAGAAACCGCGGCTCTGGTTCGAGTCCTGCAGGCAGATGGCACAGCTCCGAGGCCGTCTAGCCGCCTTTTAACGAACCCTTAATAAATAAAACAAACCTAAATCCTTGAAAAACTGTTAGCCTTGATAGCCATATCTAGGCCCCTACCCAGGGGGTGCAAGTCCCCAACTCGTAGGGATAAATGTTTGGTACCAGAAACCATTCAGAGTATAGTATTCGGTACCTAGAACCCCAGAAATTTGGGCACCTGGACCCTTAAACCCCTAAACCCTAAACCCTAAACCCTAAAGGCCCTAAACGAAACTTCTGGACCCCTATACCCCTATACCCCTATACCCCTAAACCCTAAACCCCAACTAAGCACTGAACCCTTAACCCTAAACCCAAGCCAAACCCCCAACCCTAAAGCCTAATTATAACCTAAACTCTAAACCCTAACTAAACCCTAAACCCTAAACCGAAACACAAAGGTTCCATGGGGTTTCCGCCAGGCTCTTCGAGCCTTGGGTTCTGTGGAAGGTCACCCTCCAGGACCCTCCTTGTATCCTCAAACAGTTTTTTGTTTTTGTTGTACTAAGGCTCTTTGCAAACAGGGAGTTAAGGTTTAGGGTCCAAAATCATGGGTATTTAGGGTCTAATACCCTAAGGCTCCATGTCCCATATAGTATATGCTTTGGCCTTAAAGCCTCAAAGTGCCTATATACCCCTAAACCGCAAAGCAAGGCCTGGTGCTCTGCGAGACGCAGCAGCCGGTCGCGCTGCTTTACGTTGAGCACACGCTCGGGTGACTCGTTGATGGCGTCCACGATCCTTTGGCTGGCAAATAGGGCGCTGCCTGAATTTAGAGATTGTGGAAATTCGGGCGCTGCCTGAATTTACCCATTGTGTAAAAAAAACCTGGCATGGATTAGTGAAGCGTGAGGAGGATATCTGGCGAGCAACAAAACAAGATTATTCCGGCTTACCTCTCTCTCCTTCTCGCCGTCTTCCCCTAGCTCTCGCACTCTGCCAGGTCATTTCTTTGAAGGTCCAGTAAAGAAGTCTGTGTGTTCATATTAAGCAGTGTTCACATGATGCTGCCCAGATCTATCCATCTATCTGGCTATCCGTCCATCTAACTACTTATGTACCTGTTTATCGACCTACATGCGTATATATGCATATACTGCATGTGTACTGTGTACATACATAACACATAATATACAATATGTATTTTATAACATGCAAACTATAAAACTATACAATGTAAAAAGTATAATACCACATGAAATACAGAATGATATGATATGACACATATATATATATATGCACACTACATATATATATATAGATATATCACATGAATGTGTATATATATATATATATATGCATGTGTATATATGTAAATGTACATATAAACACATGCTTCCCATATACACTATATGTATATATGTACATATATTTATAGATAAGCTAAATACATATACGGCATACATAAACAAACACAGAGTCGGACAAATAAATGTATATACATCTACACATACACACACACATATATATATATAAACATGTGTATATATATATATATACACATATTCCCGCTTGCTAAGTTGTCTACTTATCTCTCAGTTATTGCAGTGCATGTAAAAGGAGAAAGCGGGATGTCAAAGTATGCATGTTTAGCTTTCTAATTGCTCATAACATACTATGAAGAGACACATAGGAACAAGTTGTGTTGCACGGGCGTCCTGTGAAGTTTGCTGGTGTGACGCGTAGCCGCAGTCCGTACATGCAACGATCTGTCAAATGACACGCATGTATAGTTTGCAGGGCTCGTATTCTCCATGTGCTGTGCTTGCGGCTTGAAAGCGCGGCGCAGAGAACCCTAAGCCGCTCCTTTTAGTGCCCTTAGCAGAGCAGGGAGCTGTAAATATGCACCGAAGCTCAACAACAATACCGGGGGCTTGCCTGGGCCCTCAAGTGCCCCTTAACAGAGCCCTAATGGTCCCCAATAGCGTATGTAAGGTATATTGGAGGGTAGTTGGGGGCTCTAAGTGCACAGCTCTTCTACTGACTTTCTAGACCCAAGAGTAACCCGGGCATAAAAAGGATGCCCTTTTTGGTTTAAAGGGGCTTATAAGGGAACCTGAACCCTAAAAAAGGGAATAAGGGCCTATCCTTTGGTCCTAGCTTTTGTAGAACTCTTAGTCCTTTCCGAGCCTGGGTTTAGGGATTAGGAACTGAAACCTGGAAGGGTTTAGGGTTTAGGGGATTAGGGTTTAGGGTTTAGGGGATAGGGTTTAGGGTTTAGGGTTTAGGGGATTAGGGTTTAGGTTTCAGGGTTTAGAATCTGAAACCTGCAACCCTTGCTTCGCCGAGCATCGTGTGAAGAGAAATGCGTTGGTCCCGCGCTCTGTCCGCCACGCGCGTGAACTTCTCCCGCTCTGCTCGGATGACCTAAACTTTAATCCCTAAACCCCTTGCTTTCGGATGCATGTTGGAGGACTCACTAGTCGCCTTTACAAAGTGCTGCTTCTTAATATAATCAGGGCTCATGAAATCCCCACGTAGATACCCACAAGAAGTGCGATCATCAAGCGACTCAGTACATTATCAGCACACCTCTTGGCGGGATATTTGCCCTATATGTAATTCCTGACATAGCAACCCAGAATTGCAATATGTTGGTGCCTCGGGATATTTTGATTAAACCACGTCCTATAAATCCCAAGTAGCCGAAAGGATACTACATTTAGACTCGCCAACCAAGTAGGTAGGGATCGTTTTTCACTTCTAAATGCACCCCGAAACCCTACTCAAAAATTTAATCAAAAATCTAAGGCCCTTAAACTAGACCCGTTAATGGAGCCCTGAAGAGGATCTTTATTCTATTTGTTAAGGTCCCTATATTAACTTCGTAACACACCCACAAGGCCCGACCTCGGTTTTCCAATAAACTGGGAGCCTGATTAAGAAACCCTGAGTCTTTATTAAGGTTCTGTATATGACTCCTAATACTTTGGGCTGGTATGGCCATGTGCAGGGTTTCTCCATCAGGTACCTACATTATGGAAGTTCCTGACAACTAAGGGTCTAGAGGTTAGGGCTTTAGGGGTTTAGGGTTCGGGGGGTTAGTATGTTGGGGTTGTGGTTACCTGATTTCGAGATCCTTCAGTGCTCCTTGCAACGACCTGTATTGGGATACGATGATTTTCCAGTTGGACTTTGGATTTGGAATAGTGTATTAGGGTCACCAATCTCTGAAATATGTGTCTTTTACATCAGCCAGGAGCTATCGTACAGCGCATACCTGTGGATGCAATACCCTACCCCAGGGTTTTAAACCCTATAACCAAGGAGGTCAAGCCTGCTGTCGTTTAGGTTTTGGTGTCAGACCCAAAACCCTTCAGATACGATTGTTCAGATCTTCCAACATCCTTTAATGAAGGAATACACCTTGAATCCTATTGGGGACACTGCTACATTTTTGGGCATATTCCTTCAATTAAGGAATATTGGAAATCTTGGTATCGGAAGAGAAGAATAGCTATACTGAACTTAGAACCCTAGCGAAATTATAATTTTTGCTGTTTCTTAGGGATTATAATAACCAAAGATTAAAAACTATTTCAAAGTACCCCTAAGATAGACCCTTAAGGGAACCCTGAGATCCCTTAAAAGGAGCTGTTTACGGGAACCCAAGAGATGCCTTAAGGGCCCCTAGAGATTCCGTAAAGGAGCCGTGAAGGGTTCCTAGGCCGTAGGATTCCTTTAGTGAAGGTGGTTCTCTAAACTCGGGTCCCTTTCCGCGTGCGGTATTATACAGTTGCGTACGATTTTGGGGAACCTAAAAGGGAACCTAATTTAGAGAACTACCCTCAAACTCAAACCCTAAATCCCAAACCCTAAACCCTATTGATCCCTTCAATGAACCATTTAAAGGTACCCTAATTTCGACGAGAAGTACCCATATAAGTATCGGAAGAGCCTGCAAGCTAATAGCCTCGTAAGGTCCGTTTGCCCCAAAGGTGCCTTAAAGGGGCTCCCTTGACGGTTTAGGGTTTTCCTTTGAGGGTTTTTGAGTTCTTGCTTAAAGGTTTGCTTTCATAAGCCCTAAACCATCTCTGAATCCTTTTAGGATGAGCCCAGGTACCGGAATCAGCAGGAGCCGGCCCGCTGCACAAACGGGCACTGCATAGATCAGGTAGGCGTGGTGGGTGGAGTACCGAGCCTCGGTAAGTTTTGGGAGTTGAGGGTTTAAGTTTGGCGTTCAGGGTTAATAGGGTTTAGGGAGTAGGGTCTAGGGCTCAGAGTTTTAGGGTTCTATATAAGGATCTATATGGGGGACACTTCCCCAAACCATAACCGTGATTCCTACTACCTACTGCACAAACCCCTAAACCCTAAAGCCCCTAAACCCTATAGGTAACTTAGTTCCTACTATGCAGGCACTTATGATCCCAAAGGGCCCAAAGTACCTTTATAGTAGAATGTAGGGTTTCTAGCTTAGGAACTAAAGGGAACTCCAGAAAGTTGGAATATGGTTTCAGGGTAGGATACCCTATAATTTACCATAAAGGGTGTAGGGTAATCATATTCCAACTTTCTGGCTTTTATCTTATTATTATTATGGTTTAGGGAAGTACCCACCATAACAGTACCTAGGACCCGTTGGGGATCCTTTGGGTTGGCCAGTTCTCCAGGGCTGGGTTTGGGGTTTATAGGGCCTCCAAAAAGCACAAAAGCAACAAAATAAGATAGGGATATCCCATAAAAAATCCCCTTATAATGAAGCCCGGTAAGGTAGGGATATCCCTAAAATGTTGTTTATGCTTGTGTGCTTTTGGGGTCCCTTTAAGTTTTGGGGTTTCGAAGTTCAGGTTTCCTTTACGGGTACTACAAGGCGTTTAGGGTTTACCCTAAGCAGTAGTTCCTTTTTGGGGTTCGTATATAGAATCCTAGTAAGTAAGCCAAAAAAAGGAACTACTTTGGGGCCTATGGGTAGGGATTTCGGGCTTACGATTTCGAGTTTAGGGTTTATAGCCTTTTGCTTTACATGGGCTTTAGGGTTTAGGGGTTGGAACGGAGCAGTAGCCGGGGAAGGTGGGTCGATAAAAACCTGGCGGGATTCGAGCGTCTTACGGCGATGTTGCGAAGCCAGGCTACATCCTAAACCTACGAGGGTTCTGTTAAGCGTTCTTTTGCGGGCATTGGGGTTCTGAATTCAGGAGTGATCGACCGATACCACCGGTAATGGCAACACGTGAAAAGTTCCCAGTCAGGACCTTGGGTGAGATGGCCTGGCCCCTGATTTTGCCTACCTCAGCTGGCACTACAGAGTAGAAGCGGCCAAATGGAAAGGGATCGGGCCAGCGATCCCATGCACTTGGGCAGGCCAAGTCTGGCCTCCACAGTGGGGAGCCCCCGTCTCCTGGACCTCGCTGGCCTCCACCGTGGGAGGCAGACCGCATCCCACCAAGGATGGGCACAGCTGAAGAGGTCGATCACAGCCAGGTAGGGCAAGTCTCTTTGAAGCAAGAGCACTTTGTCCTCAACCACGGGAAGTACTACGCTAGGGTCCTTGGCCTCATCCCATTGTTCCTGGATCCAGCACTGCAGTCGCTCCACATCCTCGTGCTCAACCCAGGTGTAGTCGAGTAAGTTCCAGGCGGAGCGATCACATATCGCCCCTAAACCCTAAACCCCAAGCCCCTGAACCCTAAACCCCTAAGCCATCAGTGTAATTAACACCACAAGCGAGGAGCACGGTCGATGAAGTCAGCCGGCCAGTACTACCACCATCGATGACATGCTACGACTGCAATACCTATAGCTATAGTCTCCATTGTAGTTCCTTTTAACCCTATAAGGGACTTATACACGTTGGCGTTCAAGAAATCCCAACATAGGACTTTGCAGGCGCATGGACCCTCAGGGGCAGCTTGGGGTCGCCGGGTCTTCTCAGGGTTTAGAGCTTGAGGCCTTCGGGTAGAAGCCCTGTCACCAGTCTGGCATGTTGTTCTCGTTGCCCCCGACTCAAAACCCCCAATGACTGTATGTGGGTAGTTCTGCCGGTAACTGGGCTTCCAGTCCACTAGGACTTCAAGTACAAAAAAAAACAAAGCGGTTCAACGAGGGTGCATATGCCGAATGTCTGGCTCATCCTGGAAGTGGAAACCAGGAGCGTCCCATCACAACAACCCTCAACCCCGAAACCCTAGATGTCCAAAGGCAGCCTTAAAGCATAACGCCAAGCCCCTTAAACCTCAGGCACTAAACCCAAAACGCTCACAACACCCCGAATCCTTCTCCATGACCCCGACATGCTAAACCCTTTGGGCTTTCGCACTGCCAACCAGCTGACTTCGAGCTTATTGAGTATAGGGCTTTTGGCGAATTTGAGGCTCTAGGTATGCAAGGGCCATAAGATGAAATCTGTGCGGGTTAATGAGACGCCGGGATGGTGGATTTGGCCTTACCACAAGGCTGAAACTCGAGACCCGAAACCCGCAGCCATATGCAACTGACGCACCAGCAGCAACACTGTAATGATCGCGACGGAGGACATCAAGCCAAGCACAAAGGCCTGTCAGGATCGGAGTCCCGGTTTAGGGTTCCATCAGAACCAGCAAGGGTCCAGGTGCGCAGAGCTTGCTGTTTAGGTACATTACGGCCGCAGCATGCTATCTAGTATATTATGTATTATAGGTGTCGATTGCAACAGCCGCCCAAAACACTTATTGTTTGGGTTCTGTATAAGGGACATTCAAGTTTACAGCAAATCGATATCTAGTAGACTATATAGTTGTGCGGACCTTTATGGTTTTTGTTATGAGAGAGACCACTGTGCAAGCGCCTCTTCTGTAAGAAATGCCAGCATTCTTGTTCGGCCTAGGCTAGAGTGCTAAGGGGCGTAATTTCCTGGGTTTGAATGTAGAACTTGGGGTGTAAGTTTGGGGATTAGCGTTTGACAAAGTGATGCTTTCGGCACAACCTGTCCACTTAAGGGCTCAGGGCATAACGGTTCAACTATCGTTTCATACCCTAAGTTGCCACAGTAAGTCCATCAAGGCTGGCCTCGCGTCCCTGTCGAAGAGCTGCACTTCTCGCCCCTTCTAATGATGCCTGTATCGAGACGGGCACGCTGCCAGCGGCGATCGTAAGATTCCCCAACAGGTTTGGGGGTATTCATTCTCTTGTGGATTCGGAAGTCTGCGAGTGGCGACCGCCAGGTGAGTCCAAAGCTCTGGGCAACACCGCGAGCGACGGAGAGCCCCTTCCCAAATCCGTACTTCGATTTGATTCGGCGTGTGACGCTGTGGAACTGGGCGACCAGGCCACCTTTTGCTTTTCTGGAAAGTCGGCGTGTCCGCCGGCTTTATCCGCTGCATGCATGGAGTCAAGTGCACACCAGAAATCCCTTAGAAGAGGAAGCTTGCTGCTTCTCGAAACCAGAAGCGCGGCCAGTGGCCTCCCCAGAAACGTGCCCCTCGAGGACGACATGCCCAGAGACTCCAATATCCCTTAATTAAGGAGTATACCTTAAATTATAGTAGGATCCCTAATATGATTTAAGGAGTATACCTTAAGTAAGGGGTATTGGAGTCTCTGGGTGTAGGGTTAGACGCAAACCCCCACCCTCAAGGATGCTTTAAAGCTAAAGGACCACATGACCCTCAAAAGTAGGGCCCTCGACCCTTATACCGCAACACAGTCACCAGAGGTGTAGGCTGGGTATAGGCTTAGCCGCCTTAGCCAGCGAAATGAACGGCGGCCGCGGCTGGGACACACTTCCACTTTGGGGCTGGAAGAGAAGACCCGCGCAACAAGCTAGCAGCTAACCTAATTCCTAGACCCTTAACCTTGAACTTTGAACCTCATGCGATTAAGCAAAGCTTTGGGAGGGTTACTATAAAGGCCTTCAGAAATAGAATGGTGTTTTGAGGCTATAGGGACGATAAGGAGTGTCCGATACGAGCTACGCATACGTTGACCCTGCAGTACTTGTCTAGGAGCCTCTTCAACACCCTCAGTATACACTATCTCGGCACATGAACCCTAAAGGTTATTGAAAGACTGAACGCACCACTGTGAAACCAGGCTGCTTACCTAAGTCATGTACTTGTGGAACCTTACACAAAATGAGCTGATCCGGACAAAGAGCAAGGGAGCATGGGCGTTTAGAGGCAACCGTACCAACTTTCAAATCTGCAACCTTATTAAACCATCACACCTCTACCAAAGTCTTCTACCGACCCTAGGATCCAGGTACTTATGGCCATAAACTAGTGCCAACGCGTCTCTAACTCTCTGTCTCTCTCTCTCTCTCTCTCCCTCTCCCTCTCGCCCTCTCTCATGTTACAATGAAGCCTTGTACAAAGCCCGTACTAGACTAAATCCACACTGAACTTAAAGGAACCCTTGAACGGACCCTTAAAAGAGCCCTGTGAAGGGCAAGACAAGATCAAACCAACCCAGCCTTCTGATGCAAGAAAACGAAGCCGTAGACGACGGTTCCATACCTGGCCACATGTCAAGGTACCCGTTGAGGCTACTCAATTCCCAAAACACTCTTTTTCTGGGCTTAGGGCTTAGGGTTTCGGCATCATGACTTTGCGACACATCTGAGATTCAAAAACCCTACAGTGAACTCCAGAAAGTTGGAATATGGTTTCATGGTAGGATACCCTATAATTTACCATAGAAGGGTTAGGATAACAATATTCCAACTTTCTGGCTTCTACCTTAAACCCGAAAGCAACTCCTAAGTCTTCAACCCTGGCTCTGGCTGGCTACTGGTAGCTTGGTTCGTCATGGTTCTGAAGTTCAGATCGTTCCTAACATGGTTATGAGTAAGTTTATCTATTGCTATTTTCAGTAGGAGTAAGGGTAGCAGGAACAGCAGGAGTAGGAGTAGGAGTAGGAGTCGGAGTCGGAGTCGGAGTCGGAGTCGGAGCCGGAGTCGCAGTGGCAGTGGCAGCGGCAGCGGCAGCGGTAGCGGTAGTGGTAGTGGTAGTAGTAGTAGTCGTAGTAGTAGTAGTAGTAGTAGTAGTAGTAGTAGTAGTAACTAAGTACTGTAGTAGTAGCAGCGGCAGCAGCGCTACTTCTGTATTCTCGTGATCAGAATCTCTTGGGTTTCAGGGTTTAGAGCTGTGCTTAAAGCAGTGGTCTCGGAGGGACGAAGGGCTAAAAGCTAGGCTAGCCGGCCCTCAATCCTGAACCCTAGCCGCAGCCTTAAACCTTAAGCAGGAAGCCTTTCAACCCCTAAATCTTTGAACTCGTTACAAGAGCCAGAACAGCAAGGAAAACCGCTAAGTATTGTAGGACCTGCCCGGAAGATGTGTGGACTGTCTCGTCTACACCATGCCCCTAAAGCCTTAGCGCGAAAGCCTAAACCCCAACGCCTTTCGAGCCCCTAAACCCTTAAACTCTATACAACCCCAAACCTCAAACCCTAAACCCGACATAATCTTAAACCTTTGATCCTACGGCCGCATATAACCCTCCACCCTTAAAACAAAAACAACCCTAAACCCCTATAAACCCCTAAACCCTGAACCCTAAACTTTAAAACCCTTAGTTATTATAATCCTAAAGCCCTAAACCCGAAACCCTAAACCCTAGAAAAAAGACTGTGCTTCAGGCTTGACGCTGTCTCTTTTCCGACCCCACGTACCCACATAGTATATATACTTAGGCCTTAAGGTTCCTATCTAGCGACTGCTTTAAGGCTTCTGTATCTACTGTTTGGGTGCCATGGAACCTTATGTCCTAAACCCTATAGAGCCCTTAAAGGAACTCGTAAAGGGACCTTACTATACAGGTACCATGGAGCCTTTGGGTCTCTGGGGCCCTGGCACGAGGATGAGGAAGCTCTCCAGCACCTTAGGCTCCATGGTACCAAAATAGGGTTCCTTTAAAGGGCTTCTTTAATTTAAGGGGTGCTTTAAAGGTGTCCGGCTTTTCAAAGGGAATCGGGGATTTAGGGGTTTAGGGTGTATAGGGAATGGGGGAATGGATTATGGAGACTATTGTAGGGGATCACATGTCCGGAGCATTCCACGGCCATCCTTCACATGGATTTGTTTCTCTCGGCAGACGGAGACTTGAATAATGCCCGAGCGCAACTGACTTGCACATCGAATGCGTTTCGCTTCTGACCAGAGTCAGCAGGAAAGTGGCATCATCGCAGTGTCCAGTCTAGTGTGTCTATGCGTTTGGAGTTGTTTTGGTGCTGGCGAGTAGTACAGCTTCGCGGTGAAGGACATGCATTCAAAGGCAAAAAGGTTCGTATTCCGCAGATGCGGCAACTGCAAGTACTGCAGTAGGCATGCCACACCATGTTTCACGATTCCTTATCATTCAGAACCTGGCGAATCCGGTGGGCCCTATTCCCTACTAAGAACCAGCACCTTAAGCTCATGCTGATCTGGATTTGCAGGATTTAGGATTTAGAGAAGTGCAGGGTTTAGCCTACAACCCTGAACGCCCTGAACTATTTACCCAAATCCCTATACCCTAAACCAATAAACCCTAACTGAACCATATTATACTATACCCTAACCGTATACCCTAACCCCTACCTGTATCCCCAAACCCTACAAAACAAAAGTACCCATAGTCTCCATTTGAGTTCCTTTTTTTTGGTTCAACCAATAAGACATTAAGGATCCTATTTAGGTAACCCCAAAAAGGAACTACAATGGAGACTAAGGTAGGTTATGACCCCTTCAATAGAGGGCCCTGGCCCTGAAAACGGTAGGTTTTTGGATCCACAGGTAGGGCTTAGTGTTCAGAGTTTAGGGTTTAGAGTTTAGGGATCAGGGTTTAGGGATTAGGGGCTTAGAGTTTAGGGCTTAGAGCTTATGGTCTAGAGTTTAGGGTTTACATAGGGGCTTAGAGTTTAGGGTTTAGACTCTGTACCCTAATTGAGGTTTAGGCTTCGCTTCATCGACTCCTGATCCTCCTGATCCCGGCAGCACCGCCCCAAAGGCTCCATGTACCTTTATAAACTTTATAGTAGATACTTAAGACTTAAGCCTTAAAGGGGTCCCTATACAGGTCCTTTAAGGCCTAAGTACATACTATATGGGTACATGGAGCCTTAGGGTGCACCTCGGCCCCAGACCAACCAACAACCTGGAGCCAAATGTAAATCCGGAAGGGCCCATGGTGAGAGGGCTCGGGGTGAAGCTTTTGTTGTTCATAGAAAGGGTTACCAATGGATCCAAAAACCTACCGTTTTAAGGGTCAGGCCTTCTAATTAAGGGGTCATAACCTACTATTGTGTAGGGTTTGGGGATACAGGTAAAGGTTTTTGGAATTCTAGCGCAACCTTAGGCCCAAATAACCTACCTTTCTAAGGACTTATAAGCGAAATCATAGTAAGGAGCCCTAGAAGTCAAGGTTTTGTAGGGTCCAGGAAGTAGGCAGCTTTGCACATCCAGGGCATTAGGCTAGACTAAAGCTCTGAGCAACAAAAATCTCCCTCAGACCATGGGCCCAACGAACATATCGAGTAGTATAGGGGCCGCCACAATTAGAATAGGGTTTAGGGCGTGTCTAATAGCATGCAGCATAAACATAAGAAAGCATTAACGAACCCAGGGATTACTATTTCAGTTAGTTGTTAGCTGCACCCCCAAACTGCCACAAAACAGCAGGTGATGATCCCCTTTAATTATGGGGTCTAGCGCTCAAAGCGTGAGGTTTCGGATCCACGGGCAAGGCCCCTAAGCCCTAAAACCCAAAACTCTATAGATCCCTTATAGCAACCCTTGAGGGGACCCTTATAGATCCCTTTGAAGGAGCCCCTGAACCCGAAGACTATGCCGCAAACATCGTGAGCCGTAGTACAAGCCACAGGGATTCGCGCTTCGATCCCCAAAATTTTACATGTCTGTGAAACTATAACCCGTTCCCTGCCCACCCCCCCGGTTAGGGTTTAGGGTTGGGGGATGTTTGGGGTTTAGTAAGTTAGGGTTTGGAGTTCAGGGTCTAGTGTTCAGGGGTTGGGGTTCAGGATTCAGGGTTTAGGGTTTGGGGTGTAGGGTTTCGGGTTCGAAATTGGAGTGCAAGGAGGGACTCCTATACCCCCCTTAGAACCATAATAACACATGTAATTCTAAATGTTCTCTTGGGGTTTTTTATATGAACAAGAAAATGAACATTTCCTAAGGAGACTATATACTCAAGACTGAGGCGCGAGAAGGCTCGCCACGGCCAAGCAAATCCGAAAGCCCACTTTCGCGAAGAGCATGTCGGACTGGAGAAAAAGCACAATATCTTAGGCTTAGTTGCTGAGTTCATAAGCCCCCCTAAAGCGTACACCTTTAGTTTTATAGTGGGTCATATTGTCCCAAGAAGTGCAAAGTCTATCCACTCAGCTACTAAGCAGGGTTTAGTGTGCATAGGGTTTATAGGGTATACGTAAACGGGTTTAGTGTTTATATAGGGTTTGTAGGGTATAGGTATAGGGTTTAGTGTTTATAGGGTTTATAGGGTATAGGTATAGGGTTTATTGTTTATGAGGGTTTATAGGGTTAGCAGTTGAGGGTTTACAGGGTTAGCGGTTGAGGGTTTAGGACGGTTTCAACGGGTTCATAAGCACTCCGACTTCCGACGTCATGGGCATCACAGTCCACCAAAAGGCCGAAAGCACACAATTCCGGGATCCAGTCCTATTCTGAGAGAAGAAAGGGTGCGAGTCACGGCGCTTAGCAAATATCTCTCCAAGAATCATAGGGACCCTTGGGGCCCCCCCTTCGCCCTAAGGGTCCCTGTGAATAAATCCTAATCGTCATAAACCCAACCCAAATCCCCGAGAATGAAATGCTAGTCCCCATAAAAACCCCTACCCAAACCCTACACCTCTGAACCCTAAACCCCTAACCCTTCCCCAGAAACCTAAAACCATTAACCACTTAATCCCTAAACAAACCCCTCAACCCTTAAATCCTAAACCTACACTCCTGCAACCTGGGAAGTCCAGCAGCACCCCCCAAGTGCCCTGTAATGGAGCCCTTATGATCCTTAATCGTGGGTATTTAAAGTACAATAGAGGGTAGTTGTGGCGGTGGAGGTAAACCCTAACCCTACACTCCTGCAACCGTGCCCAAATGCTCCATGTACCTCTATAGTAGATGCTTAAGCCTTAAAGGGATCCCTATATAGGCACTTCAAGGCCCAAGTATATACAAGATGGGTACATGGAGCTTTTGTGTTGGAAACCCTAAACCCTAAACCCCTAACCCTAAACCCCTAAACCCCTAAACCCTAAACCGACTCGGCCTCAACCGCGATGGGTCTCAGGGCCTTCGCTGTAAGACCGGCCTAAGTGCACAAGGCAAGGCTTTATACCAGGGATCCATACATCCAAATTAGGGGTACCTTTAAAGGGGGGACTATAAGGATACTATAAGGGTTCCTTTTTAGGGCTACTGTAAGGGTTTAAGGTTTCCGAAAATTAAGGGTACCTTATTTTGGGGCTCCTCATAAAAAGGATCCTACTATTTAGGGTACTATATTAGGGTCCCCTGTTTTCGGAAACTCCCATATACAGTAGAAGCCCAACAGTTGGAAACCCAGTAGCCTCAATCCTTAGCCTTCATCCGGCTTCCAACTTCCTGTTGTTTATTCTATCCCAAAGGATCCCAAATGCTTATATAGTAGAATCTAGAGTTTCTATTTTAGGAACTATTCTTATGATTAAAATACCTATATAGTAGAATGTAGCGTTTCTATTTTAGAAAGTATTAGTATTATGATTTAGGGAAGTATCCCCCATAACAGTACCTAGGACCCTTTGGGTATGCGTGTTGTATAAGGCGTGTGGGGTTTGCCGTGTGGGGCCTAAGGCGCGGATGCGTTATGCAACTGGTCTTCCGTAAGGGTCCAAAAAGACCCTGTAACCCTAAACCCCTAAACCCTAAACCCTAAACCCCTAAACCCTAAACCCTAAACCGTGGGTTTAGGATAGGAGCTACGTAGGTCACTTTTTAATTTTTCGGCGAGTATGTGCTAGTTAGGTACTTAGGTACTTAGACCCTTAGGGCTTCTAAGGGTTGTATAAGGGGCTCGCAAGGGTTTCCAGAGTCTTCACATGGTCTGCAATGGCTTCAGAAGTAGTTTCGGGTAAGTAGCATATGATTATGAAAAAGATTTCAGGTTCACATGCTTAGACTCAGAGTAACAGCGCAGAGGGGAAATCTGTCAATCCGGGCATAAAATTAAGAATTGGGGCTTACTAGCCAGGTTTTGCGCCTAAGAAAAACCTCATGGATACACAACGCCAGTGTCTTGCATCCTCCCGCTCAGCAATGCTGATAATTCAGCATAGCATGTACTGACGCTGCAAGCGTGTATTCCCGGATATGTTCAAGGAAAGTGCCTGTCTAAACCCATCAAACGCCCTGTAAAAAAAAAAGTATACATGCCTTCGCAGGACCCCTAAAGATCCCTTTAAAGGGTGGAGCATCTCTTTTAGTGAGTGCTGAGGGAGTAGCTCCCAGAAGGTCGCCATAGAGCCCTATCCAGGCCAGCCTTAGCTTCAAGGTCCAGGGCTCAGGGGTTTAACGCAGCGTGTAGGGTGTAGGGTTTCGGGCTTAGGGTTCAGGGCTCAGGGTTTAGGGTTTATGGGTCACCAGCAGCCCCCAACTACCCTCCGTTATATCCCGAATACTAATTACCCACAGTTACGGACCATAAGGGCTCTATTAAAGGGTACTTGCGGGGCTGCTGGCAGGGTTCAGCACACTTGTTGGGTATCATGGGGAGCTAAAGGTTAACCTTGTTGGTTGTATAGGGACTATACAGGGACTGTACTACCCAGAAAAGGTTAAAGGTTACCTGCTCTACTTGGAGGGCCTGGGGACTTAGTAAGTAGTTGGATTATAGACTTATAAGTATCATAACCCCACGTAGGATCCCTGTTAGGGTACTTATAAGTCTACTTATTACCTACTTACTAAGCCCCCCGATTTTCCAGTAGACCCTAAACCCTAAACCCTATAGATCAATTTAAGGAACCCTATAGATCCCTTTAAGGAGCTCTTTACTAAGTCCCCCGACCCTTCAAGTACTACTAGGTCAGGGTTTGGGGATTTGAGTTTCGGATCTGGAGCTGCAGGTTTTCATGGCTTTGGAGGCTTGAGGGCACAATTCCAGGGGTCAGGGGTTTTATACGGTTTAGGGTTTAGAGTTTAGGGTTTAGGGTTTAGAGTTTAGGGTCTTGGGGTTTAGGGTTTAGGGTATAGGGTTTAGAGTTTAGGGTTTAGGGTTGGATACGGGGATGCTTGAACGTTTCGCCCTGGGTTGCTGGATACAGGGCTTGGTCCTTGGTGTTTGATGGTTCAAGGCTTTAGTCGGTTGTTTAAAGGATTTAGGTTTCCGAGTGGTGGTTTGGGGTCTTGGGCTTCTAGGGGCTGCCTTGTGGACAGCCTACTCACGAACTACTTACTCGAGTCACGATGTGCATGAATGTATGCCGTTGAAAAGACAACCTCCACAGTGGGCGCAGCTAGCAGGTAAACGTTCAGAGTTTGTAGCCCTAGAATTTTACATACATGCCAGAGTCGGAGAGTGGGTATGCAGCCTGTTAACGACCTCGTCACTTCGGTAATAGGCCAAACAGGCTTCGAGCATACTTTGATGGGAGGCCAAAAGGGGGGCTTAAGATTCTTGGGGTAGGGGTTCCTTAATATGAACCCTAGTATGGGAACCCTTCCAGTTCTTCTTCTTTCGCAGCATCTGGAATTCGAAGATTTTCTGGACGGCTGTCCGGGACTCTATCTCGTGTCGCATGGCGATCTGCTCTCTCATGTTTGCCTGGTAAAAATATCTGGCCTCCTCCGAGGCCAGCACAACAAACTTCAAAGGCATGGACAGCAGCAAACGTTTGATCTGGAGCCGGTCATTGTCGGTCACGCCGGTGTCCAGGCAAAGGACATTGCCGACCGGTACACGAAAGAGGTGGAGCAAGCCCCGCGGCCACAGGGTGAACAGGTCAGCCTGAAGTACATCGAGAATTTTTCCATATTTGGGATGCTCTTTTCACCATTCCAGACGTCCAGGCCGTGATCCTCGACATGGAGAGAAGACATCGTATGAAAAGCCCATTCCGTTTCATGTCCCAGCTAACCCTAATCCCTACTAAACCCCCATAGGCTAAAACCCTTCTGGCCTCCTATGATACCCTAAACCTCGCAAACGATCCGGTTGCTGAAACTGTTGGCCTTTGGATGAAACCCTATCTAAGGGCGAAATTTAAATGCACAGACCTGCAAACCCCGAAATTCCGGCCGAATCCCAGCACCCTGAACCCTAATCCCCAAACCCCTGTAACTCAGCACCGAGCCACCCTCAAACTTGCCACATCGGGGAACCGAGAACCGAACCCTGTGTGCATAGGGATTCCTTGTGGGGACTCTACATAAATGACTGGCTACTGTAGGTTCGGGGCTGATGGTTTGGGTTTATATGCATATCGCAACCGCATTGTTCTGCGTCCCTCTTTCAAGCCTCTATCCCTAAGGCTCCATGTACCTCTATAGTAGATACTTAAGCCTTAAAGGGGTCCCTATATAGGTACTTTAAGGCCTAAGTAAGTACTATATGGGCACATGGAGCCTTAGGGTATTTTCTGTATATAGGGCACCCAAGAGCTAAGCCAAGTGTCAGCAGTATCAGTGCCAGGAGCACCCTCCGGAGTTTCTGTGTGCCTCGCCACTCACTGAAGGTTTAGGGTCTACCTAGACCCCCCAACTACCCTCTAATATACCCCAAATACCCACTATTAAGGACCATAAGGGCTCCATTAAAGGGCCATTGGGGTCCTGGTAGGGTTTAGGTTTCGGGTTACGGGTCTATGTTCCGTTGAATTGTCGCGAGGAAAGGGTTTCTTCAAGGTTTGCCCTAACCCTAAACCCTAAACCCACCCTACACCCGCAACCCTGAAAAATCTCAGCCCTAATCCGTCTGGGAGTCTACCTGCGGATGCCCAAAAACCGAGTGACCTAGCGTTTTATGGGTTATAGACCGTATAACTAATTAGTTCAGGGGTCATAACCGCGTATTTTGCACTAGGATGCCGAGTAACCTAGGAATACAAAGGGCTCCCTTTTGGGTATTGGGTAGCTTGATAGGGAACGTAGGACTACAAAAAGGGAATAGGGGTAGTACTGGGCATCCTAGTGCAGGGTTTGGGGATACAGGTAATGTAGGAACCTGATTAAGAAACCTTGGGCCTGTATTAGGGTTCCTTATATGAATCCTACTTATTTGGGGTTATAGGCACAGGGTTTCTTAATCAGGTTCCTACGTTAAGTCCCAGGATCCAGGTAGAGGTACTTTCAACAGAAGCTTCGGCTTAATGGTGCACTGCCCACCCCGTGTAGCTGTGCCTGGGCAACAACGGTACCTTGTCAAAAGAATGGCATGACCCTACCAATAAGCACACTTCGCGTGTTCAAGGCTTAAGATATCTTGCCTACTCTAGAGCAAATGCATGGGCACGACAAGCCTTTAGAGTCCAAGTGAAACCTTGCACTCTTGACTCTCCGACACATGTGTTTGTCTGTTGTTATATCGGTATCTATATCTGTATCTATGTCTACATATATACATATATATACACATATATATATATACATACAGATAGTTAGATAGATAGACCTGCATCTACATCTATACATACATCCCTCTGCCTCTGTACATGAGTACACATATATATGTATATATATATATATATATATATATGTATATATATATATATATAGACATATAGGTGCCCAAAACTCTAAATCTATATCTGAATCTATCTGTATGTGTGTGGTCCTGGAAGTGAGGCATTGATACACGAAAAAACTTACAGATATACACATGCGTCACAATGGAGCCAGCAGCCGCCGGTAGTATCCTCACACCAGAACATTCGGGGTCTAGGGTGGAGAACTTAGCAAGATCATCCGCGGAAGGCTTCCTCGAAGCTGAGGGTCCATTTGCCTATTCCGGGCAGTCGAAAGCTTTATCCGGAGGTGAAAGCTCAGCGGAGCAGAGCCCAAATAGTCGGGACCTAGTTCAAAACCTGTAAGGGTGCGGCGGGTAGCACAGGTGTGAGTATTCTTCCCGTTTGGCCAGTCGAGTGCAGAAAAGTAACACAAATTGAATGGAAAAGTCCTCTCAAGGATTGTGCGGGGCATTCATTGCCGTAACTCCTATACTAAACCCAAAACGTCAATAAGGAAATCAACATCCGTTAATGAAACTGCTGCGCCCTGAATCAAACTCTGACTCGCTGAAGCCTACTAGACTGCAAGGGATACTCCCTAGCCAAACAAAATGGACGATAGCAGGGACGGCTCAAAACTCCCTAGCCAAGCCTAAATTAAACTCTATTGTAAGCCCCGGAGTCTTTACAGGGTTTATACGAATCTTGATATGTTGGGGTTGTAGGGTCAGGGTTTCTTAATTAATCAGGTTCCTGCAAGATTACTACATCTTTCAAACCCTTAAACCCTGAGCCAATCCCAGCCTGTGGCAATCGAAAACTGCAGAAGGAGATTGGTGAGCCGGGCTACCTCGGAAGATTGATTAGGAGGTCATTCCCTTTCTAGGACCCCCAAAACCAGTGCGGCACTCTGAGAAAAAGGAACCCTACGCGGGAACCACCGATATCTTGGTGGTGTAGGGTTTAGGATGTAGTCTTCGCGAACTCAGATGTATGGTCTTCCTGTACATTTGCATGCAGTGCGCGCTCATGCACCTTAAGGACGGCATGAGCGTGGATTCAGGATTACTGATACTAGGATCGCACGTCGGAAACGTTCTAGGCCATGCTATGGCCCTTGCTGTGGGTGCTCAGCACGCACGGTTCTCGGGTGTAGGTGAAGAGAGAGAGAGAGAGAGAGACAGAGAGAGAGAGTGTGTGTGTGTGTGTGTGTGTGAGTGTGTTTACCCCAAACCCTATAACCCCGAAACCCTATACCCAACCCAAAACCCAACTCAAACGAGTTGCGGTTCAAGGCTATCAACATGGCCAAATTCTGACACAGACACACAGACACACAGGCACACACACACACACACACTCTCTCTCTCTCTCTCTGTCTCTGTCTCTGTCTCTCTCCCCCTCTCTGAAGCCGACAACCCTAAGCACCAAATTCATCAACCCTCCCTACTGAAGCCACGTCGTGTATATACTTCGGCGCCAGAGACACTCGCATAGATAGATGAAAAGATAGCTCGATACATACATAGATCGTTAAGTTGAAAGATAGACGATAGACGAATAAATAGATATTTAGATAGATAGGTAGGTACCCTTAAGATCGAAGGTCAAAGACTATATTACAGAGGGACATGGAACCCATGCGCCTGAACCACAACTCCAAAAATATCCTCGAGGTACCCTCACAGGAAGCTTTCAAACACCAAGGCTCCATATACCCACATAGTATAAACTTAGGCCTTAAAGTACCTTTAGGGGGACCCCGTTTTGTCTTAAGTATATACTATAAAGGTACATGGAGAATCTGGTTGAAGTCCAAACCAAGGTTCCACTTTGGTCCGCGGATGACTCGTCGTTCGACGGATCGATGGTCCGAGAAGCATGGCTTCGAGTTTGAGGGTTTTCTTTAATGTTTATGGGGCTGACGGCAGGTTGGTGTTCTAGCTAAGGCGGGAGGAGCGCAGCTTGGAGTTTGAGGGCTCACGGTTTAGAGGATTTGTTTTTCTGGTTTTCGGGTTTTGGAGTTTTGAGATGTAGGCTTGCTTCAGGACTTTCGAAGTAGACCCGACACTTTCGTCTGTCTGTTAACGCCCACTTTGGGCACTCGGTGTTTCGGTTCCGCAAGCTTCACGTGGAGTTTAGAGGCTAATTCCTGTTGTAGCGCTGTTGCACAGAGAAAGGAGAAGCATCTTATTACTGCCCCATTGATAAGCTTGTCGACTGGTGACAGGGCAACACGACTCCCAACTCCTAGCTGTCTGCGTCATATGGGCCAGTGACTCCTTCCTCGCTACTGTCGAACTGTACCTGTGGTAGTTGAGCCGAGAGAAAAGCAAGTGCTGTGGGCCTGCACACCAAAAAAACGAGTCCAGAACAATGAACCCGCATACCCTCAACCCTACAACCGAAACCCTCTATATAGCAAAAACCTTGTTCGAGGTTGTGCATTGTTCAAAACCCACTTTAACTAGACCAAGAGTAACCTAGGACCCAGGAATAAAACGGGTGCCCTTTTTGGGGAGAAGGGGGAAAAATGGGAACTACACCCTAGAAAAAGGGAAATAGCGCCTACTCTGGGTCCAAGAATATAAGGTATATTCCAGAATTAAGGGATATCGGAGTAGATTGAAGCCCTACACCATGAAGATCCCTTATAGACCCCTCTGAGTAACCCTCAGGTACCTATGCCGTGAATTACCCAGACCCCCGGGCAGAACCTCCAGGAAGTAGATCCCCTAATTGGGGGCCCTATACTACCAAGGGGTACTTTGTAGGAACCCCCATTAAGGGATCTACTTTTTGGATCCTCCCGGAGGTCTGGGATAATGGGATAACTAGGATGCCCAGTAGCCTAGGGAGAGAAAGGGCCCTTTTTTTGGTATTGGGTAACTGTAGAAGGAACCTAGCACTACGAAAAGGAATAAGGGTACCACTGGGCATCCTAGATAAGGCTTCAAGGCTACTATACTGAACTTGGAACCCTAGCAAAAATTATAATTTTAGCTGTTTCTTAGGGCTTATAATAAGCAAAGATTAACAAATATTTCTAACTACCCCTAAGGATAAGGCTTGAAGGTTAAGGGTCTGGGAGGATACCTTATTTGGGGGTCCTTATAATAAGGATCCTACTATTTAGGGTACTATATTAGGGTCCCCTATTTTGGGAAACTCCCACTTTCCAAAAACCCTTCTGGGTAATGGATCTTCTCAGCCTTTGGGCTGCCATGCCCCTGGCAGAAGCCACTTCCTCGCGGAGCCATGGTCCAGAAGGATCCAGCAATCTTGAAACCGGGAGTTTGGCGTGGTTTGGGGTTTAGGGTTTAGGGGCTAGGGTTTAGGGTTTAAGGGTTTAGGGATTAGGGATTAGGGTTTAAGGGGTTTGGGGGTGTAGGGGTTTACCAGCACCGCCCAGGTACCCTGTTATAACTAGGGCCTTTATAGTCCTTAATTCTCGTAGAGGATAGTTGGGGGTGCTGGTAGGGTTTACCTGTGGATCCAAAAACCTACCGTTTTAAGGGTTCGACCCTCTAATTAAGGGGTCATAACCTACTATTTTGTAGGGTTTGGGGATACAGGGAGGGTTTAGGGTGGGTTTAGGGTTTAAGGGTTTATGGGCTGAGACTGATGTATGGGGCCTTTATACTTAGACTAGGGGAGCTTTTTAAAGGGTGCCCTTAAAAGGGGCCTGTAGGAATCAGAATAAGCTTAGAATGGGGCTTTGTAGATTATCAAAGTAGGACTATGACAAGAAGCCCAATGAGTTTCTTGTAGGTTATCAGAACAGGATTATGACAAGAAAAAAGCCCGAAGGAATGCGATGAACTAGTGGTGAATCCTCAGGCTTCTAAAGCTAGACTACCGCACATGTAGGCAGGCTGCCATCGAGGGATTGATCCTGAAAAAGCTGCAGACGGTCACCCAGCTCACAAAGCGCTAATAAACAACAACATGCATTCGACACCAGTCGCCCCGAAACTTAAACCGGAACCCTATACCCTTAAATTGACGGTATGCGCATTCTACACCAATCACCTGAAGACCCTTAACCCTGAACCCCAAACAGCTGAAAGCCCTAAACTTTAAAACCTGAGCCACAAACCTTGAACTCTGAACCCCAAGCCCAACAGCAAGTTTATGTGTCCCGAAACCCCACAAAATAGTAGGCTTTTGGATCCCTCGGTAAATTCCTGAACCCTAAACCCGGAAACCTAAAACCCGAAATACTAAAATTCCCCAGGAGCCCTTAGAGGACCCTTATAGATGCCTTTCAAGGAGCTAACCCCTACGGCCCCTTTAAAGGAGCCCCTAAACTGTACATCCTCGCGGTCTGATCCGCAACCAGTACTACAGGCCCTTGGCAATGACATCGGAGGTACTAAGATCCTTATAAGCACCCTATAGATCCATTTAAGAAGCCCTTATAGTTTGCTTTAAGGGAACCCTTATAAACCGTCAAAGCCCTAAAGCAAAAGCCGGAAAGTTGGAATATGATTATCCTAACCCTTCTATGGTGAATTATAGTGTATCCTACCATGAAACCATATTCCAACTTTCTGGAGTTCCCTGTATGGGCCTGAAAAGCTGAACGGGGTTTGGGATTAGGGTTTAGGGTTTGAAGGGCTAGGTTCCTCAGTAACCCCTGAATACTACGGGTACCCTGTTTGTTCATCTTCAGTGATAAGGACACCCCCAACTGAAAAGGGCGAAAGGGTACTACCCAGGCACCGAGAAGGCTGTAATATCCGTGCGTTGCTGATCAGAACAGGGTTTTGGGGTCTGTTCTGCGAGAACAACAACTGGACGAAACCACAATCAACGTATTCTTCTGACCCTGCATTCACTTCTGAGGTACAGGAAAATGTCAGGGTCTCACGGACATGGCATGTGGCATGCGGAGTTTGGTGCTCAGGGTGTGGAGTATGGGGTTTAGCGTGTAAGGGCTCGTGTTTGGGGCACAGGGTTGGCTGCCAAAGTGGGTGTCGTAAGCTCAGGAAATCGGAACACTCTTCTTCAGGGTTGCACTAAAATGTAATCTGGGGCAATTGCATGATGCAGAAATAGCTATAGCTATATGTTTGTAGCTAACGCAAAACCTACTCGCTCGGCGGGGGAGCACCGAGCTTTCCCGGCAACGGGTGCTACGACGTTGCAGTGTGGAACGAAGAGCGACCACTGGGGCTCTGCCTGACGGCCAGCTTGTAAACTCGCGTGCTGAATGTGCTGTGTTCTGGATTTTGGTGCTTGGCTTTTTATCCCAGAGGTTCATCATGTACTACCATTATGGAACTATAGGTCCCTGAAGCCATAAATAACACATGGTCTCTTGGGAGCATGGAGCCTCTAGGTACGCAGACATTCTAAATTTTACTCAGCATGCCCGTGGCTCCGATTCCTGACATTCTCGGCACGATGATAAGGGAGTTTCCGAATATTCGGGGCGCCTTGCTTGGGGGGTCCTTACAATGAGGATCCTATTATTTAGTGTACTATGTTAGGGTCCCCTATTTTCGGAAACTCCCATAATCACAACAGCTCAACCTGCACTCTATGCCCCAGACCCTGTACTTGCCACCCTAATGCGCTTTGCCGAACCAGGTGCCCTTGAACCCAAAATCCTGGACCACTAAACTGTAGCGCCTTATAAACCGTTCCAAACCCTAAACCCCTAAACCCTACACCGGCTTCCTTCCAACCCATGGGGCCACCCTCAGCCCGACAAATCACCCGCAAATCCCAGATCATGCCACGCAAACAGACTCTCTACCCAAAGTGTCTTAAGTATGCCTTAAGTACCTACATAGTCGAAAGCAGGGCTTCCGTAATAGAATTGCTACGATGGTTCGGTAAGTATCCCCCACAGGCCCATATATACCTCCTGGGCTAGATGGGCTTCCGTAATAGGAATTGCTGCGATGGTTCGGTAAGTATGCCCTGTAGGCCCATAAATACAACCTGGGCTAGATACAAAGTAGCTACCACAGCTCGAAGCTGGTTAAACTTGCAGACGAGAAGCTTGGCGCCCTGAACCCAAAAACCGAAAGGTCACAACAGCGGAACCGTTTCACTCTAAACGCTGCAGAAAACACAAGGCCCGTGTACCACGTCTGGTATATGCGTTGGTTTTGGAGGAGGTACTTTGTGGGAACTGCAGGGTCAATGCCTGCTACCTGGACTCTTAGGCAAGCACTCCCTAAAGCCTAAACCCGACACCCCGAAACCCCAAAACAAAAGCAGCCTAAACACCCTAAACCCTAAACCCTAAACCCTAAACCCTAAAACCCTAAAACCCTAAACCCTAAAACCCTAAACCCTAAACCCTAAACCCTAAAACCCTAAAACCCTAAACCCTCCCTTCCTGGCACCTCCAAAGCCTCGAGCCCCTCCACGCCGGTGCCATGGACATCGGCACCAACGCCTCAAGGTCGATGAAGTGGACTTACCAAGCCCTAAGGCTCCATGTACCATTATAGTAGATACTTAAGCCTTAAAGGGGTCCCTATATAGCTACTTTATAAAGCCCTAAGTATGTACTATATGGGTACATGGAGCCTTAGGGAAGATAGGTGTTCTTCCTTTAGAAAAGGTATCCTTGCAGGCTTCCTCTAAAGGGTCCCTACAATGATTGCTGATTGCTACAGGAGGGTATGATTATGCATATTTAGACGAGGGCTCTGGGTATGCGGTCGTGTGAGTCGGATAACTATAGCCTATAGCTTTAGATATAATGTAGGGTTTAGGGTTTTCTGAGTTTGAGGACACTGAAGACCCATCGCACCTCCAGTTGAGGAAACTGAGTATGTAAGCCTTAAACATGTATTTGGACACGACTATACTATTTTGGGGTTCCTTACTATAAGTACAGTATAATGGACCCCAAACCCCT